AGAACCCGGGATCGGGCAGAGGAGAGGGAATAGGACGAAAGTAAGAATCGTGGTGGAGCAGTCGAGTGCCAGGGTGACAGAACTCACTGCCAATCGCAGGCGGCAGGTGTGAGCTATCTCTCTATCCTGGTCCGAAGGTTGACGTTGAAGATGCCTACAGACTCACGCAGGCAGAAAATCTCTCGCCGCCGCCAGCCTACCAGCCCGGATTATCCTTGTTCCGAGGACACCCAACCTCGGCCCGGACTATCTGTTGATGCGCAGTGAATGACGTAATTACTCTGACATGTCCCAACTCTCGATCCTCTTGACAACGGCTCACAGCGTCAAGTAAGAAGGGAAAAGAGAAAAAAAAAAGGGAAAACGAAACAGAAAAGAAAAAGAAAATCGACCAGGAAAGGGGGCAGAAAAAAAACAAAGGAGAAACCACTCATCTACCCGCCCTCCATTACCCCGATGCCATCCCAGAACAACTCAAAAGAGTTACATACAATTGACTTCCCGCAGCCAACCCTCCATCCAGGCCGGTTCTCAATCCCTTAAAGCCCCCATCCCCCGTCCCCACCCCAGCGCAAGGCAAAACGCCCCAATGCCTGAGAATGAACTATTTTATTATCACCACCCAGTCTAACACCCGCCCTAACAGAACCAGGCCAATTACTCTTCAACCCCAAAAAATTCTGTCGCGAGCCAAGCATCCCGCCGTTCTTGTTGCGATCCAGTCCATTCCGTGCATGAAGATAGTAAATGGGGCACGAGAAGAACTTGTGGAGAACGGGTAAAACAAAGGGTGCCAGCGAAGAAAATATTGTTCTAGTTGACTACGGCGTAGTTACTCTTTTTAACTAGTTATCAATTATCAGCAGAATGTTTTGGCTTTACATGCGGGTTGAAAACTATGAGTGAGAAAGAAATTTTTAAATTATGCGCAACAATACGAATCTGTAATCCCATTGTTGAACAGTGCAATGTGACGATCTACTTTAAATAGAATGGAATAAAATAAAATAAAACAAGTTAAACAAACAATGGAATCGCATGGGTAAATCGGTTGCAATAAGCATCATTGTCATTATTATCATCACCATCACACTCAAATCACAAGTTTCAAAAACGATTGAAACATAGAGGTATTCTAGTCCTTGCGTAAGGCAAATGGTACAATAGCTATACAGCAAATAACAATAAAGGGATAAAACTAATCCAAATGCAAAAACAGCTATACGAAACCCGTTGGTACCCGCATCGTCACACATAGCGTCAAGCAAGCCAAAAAAAAAATAAATAAATAAATAAATAAATAAATAAAAAATAAAAATAAATAACAAAAGGCCGTAAAAATAAATCTGTATATACATAGGTATAGGTATATGTAGAAGAAACATCAAACGCTCATAACCAAACAATCATTCAATACTCATTCAATTTCAACACTTTCCCAACCAACTTTCGCTTCGGAGGCTTATCCCGATCTCGATCCGCCTGCAAACCCTTCAGCGCATGCAACAACATCCCCGCATCGAAGAACCCATCTGTATGAAAAGAGGACCAGTTAGTATGTTATCTACCACGAGCTACAACGCAGACAGCGTAGAAGTCGAGGGAAAGACAGCTGAGAGTAATAATAATAATTTATAACTTACATCCACCCATCCCATCGTCTTCTACATCGCCACCATCCGTCGTCGGGGTCTCAACCGTCCCCGCCCCGCCCACAAGCTGCGGATCAACCCTCACTAGCCGCCCCTTCCCCTTCACGCGTTCTCCAGGTGCCACCACAACCGGCGCAGTGGGAGACTCTGCATCCATCTGCCTCTCGCGCACACAACTCGGCCCCACGGGTTTGCGCTGCGTCGCGCGCAGCAGCTTGCGAATCTCATACAGATACGTCTCGAGCGACTGGATGAAGCGGGTTGTCTGTCGATGCTTGGACGACGCACAGATGGAGATCGAGTCGTCCTTGATGATGTAACCGATGCCGAAGCCGTCGCCAGAGGTGGGACCGAAGCCAAAGTGGCGCAGTGACGGATTGCCGCAGTTTGAGGTCGAAAGGATTGTGGTATTGATTTTATCCCAGCCAGCATCATTGAAGAGAGCTGGGGTGTGGGCGAGATGTTGAAGGCGGATGTTGCGTGAGCTGTTGGCGGAGTAGCTAGAAGATATGCCGTCGTCGGAGGGCGAGGAAGGGCGGGATACGGCGGTAGAACCGTGCGCTGGGGCTGGGGAGGAATCGATGGATGAACCGTTCTCGGCGGGGCTCGAGTAGCCATTTGTGCTTGGAGGCCCGCTGTTGATTATCCCATGTCCATCATCGAAGGAGCGCTGCCAAAGACAGTAGAGGGCGTAGAGATGCCTGTCTTGGCCTTTGCCTTGCGAACAGATCTTGGTAGTTGCGGTGTGTTTTTCTGTTGCTTTTCGGAGGGCTGCTACTTTTTCCGCTGCGGGACGCTCGTCCCAGAATGTTCGTACGAACTCCACGGATTCGTGGGAGACGGTTCTGACGGCCTCCGTGCGCCCGTGGAGGAAGAACTTAGTCATCGCTGGTTCGTAGGTATTCTCTACCCGGCCGTAGAGACCATAGTAAGCGGCTTGGAAAGCCATTTGAACAAATGCATCAGGCGAGATGCCCATCGATGTGATGAAGTTCTTTCCGTAGCCTTTAAAATCGAGGACTTGGAATTCATGCTGATGTAACAGATCCGCGAGGTGTGATTCGGCAAATCGAAGGGCAATGCTGAGTTCTGGGCCCATGTCCCACTCAAGTTTGTGTGGGGTTGTGCTCACATTCGATGCAAAACTCTCAGGACTCCGTTTTGATGGGGGAGGGCTGGTGGTTGCCCACAAGCTAGGTGCCTGGCCGTTAATGGTCCTGGCAAACCGAAGGATCGTGTCCGTGTAAACATCACTGGCGAATCGAAGTACAGTATGGCCGTCTACACCAGTATGCTCAAAGTTGATACCAGCACTACCGTTCTTGCAGACAATGATTTGAAGCTTGTCATACCATCGGTTCGTGCACGTTCCAATCTGTACACCCCTGACCACTTCATTTGTCCCGCAGAGCATATTGGCGCAAAGCTCAGATGTATTAGACGGCTCCGTGGAATCCAAGCACAAAACAAATAGCGCGGTATCGACGATATTCAGACACTCAGCGTTGTTAGACTTCCGATCTTTGGTCAAGATATCTCTCAAACCCGACCAGACTTTCCGGTTCTCCGTGCTGAGCACACCAAGTGCCCCTTTAGCGGCCTCCTGGATTGGTGTCTGCTCTGCATCTTCGATAATTACTTGAAGATTGAGCGATATATCCCTTTCGCTCATAAGCAGGTCGTTATTGTCGTCAAGAACGTCGAACCAGTAAAACTGACCCCGACAAAGAACCACCATATGCTTAGCAGCCGAATCTTGACCAATGATGCACCCGTTCTCGGTTGGCACTCTTGCTGTACCAAACAATCTCGAATATTGAAACATGCAAAGTGGTTTCCCACGAACTGTATCCGGAGCAAGCTCCTCTCTTCGAACAGCCCGAACGAATGATAATGCGGACACTACTAAGGACGCTGCGCGCGTAACTTGGTTGTTCCTGGAAGGAGTGGGATCATCCTCTAAGAGGAAAAACGGATTGAGATTGAGAACAACAGCTATCGAGACGTTAGCCACATACTTTCGATGCGCCACCATGCCGCTAGGAGAAAGAACATGTTCCGCGACGTAACTCACGATTATCATAATTCAAATAAGAATCATACCCTAACAAGCAAGTCAGTAAATTGCTATGGAGTGACCACACAAGTAACGGCCAACAATAAAGGCAGAAATGTAGAAAATAAACCCACAAAACTGCTCGATATAACTCGACTTCGAAGTAGCGTAGTTCTTCAGCTTATTTTGCAATTCCGGGCCGTCCGTTTTAAGAAATTCATTTACAGCGGCCTTTGTCTCCTCCTGCTCCCTGGCAGACTGTAAAGGAGCCAAACACTCCAGGTAGCGATTGCAGGTGCTCTCAAGATCTGGGATCGGGAGTTTGGGGAGGGAGTCTTGGTTTGCGAAGGTTATGCCATTTTGGACCTTTTCCGGAGGGTGGGACTTGGGGGTGGAGTTGGTAGGATCCGTTGCGGCCATGGCGCTTCGGGACATTTCCTTGTTCTCAGAAACCCCGTTTGGAGACTTGGGGTTTCTCGAGTTCTCGTTCTCAGCCAGAGTCTCCCCTAAAGGTTTGGGCATAGTAAAGAATCGGACTGCCATGGTAGAATATGACATTGTTTTTCAACGAGTCAGTGGGGGGAACACTAGCATCAAACCAAAGGGCTCTAAACGTAGTGAGATGACAGGACGGTGGGTATTGAAAGGAGTCGCAGGGCGCTGCGGTAGAAATAATGGCAATCCTGTGAACAATAAGAAGGCATGGAGGCAATTTAAAAATACGATAAAGGTAGAAGAACAAAACACAACGGAGTTGGCATGATCATAGAAGGGGGGATCAATAGTATGCCGGGTCCGAGCGAGGGAAAATCCGGGAGGCTTTTCTGCGTGTAAACAGGAACCAAACGGGAAATATAACGAAGGTGGATGAGGATCTATCTATCTAAGAAAAGCAGCAGCAATGACACTCGCGCAACTTGGAGGAATGATATCACCTTGGACACGGGATCCGGGCTGAAGGAAGTGTGTGGAACAGTTGGATGCGCCGGGACTTTTCTTGGAAAAAAGCAGGGGGGAAAGCGGAAAAGCTTACGGGAAAAAAAGATAACTAAACCGACAAGGACTCGTCAAGGCTCAAGCGGGCGGAGTGACTAGGTAGGAGAGAAGGCAAGCCCGAGGCTACAGCCTAGGGTGTGTCGGAGTAACGGATGGGATAGGTAGCAGTTGTTAGTGCAGTCGCAAATCAATCAGACGAGCGCACTGTAGAGCAGCTTGACGAAGGTGAAAAATCTGTTCTCCGAAAATAGGCGGAAGGGAGGTCTCATTGTTAGCAAGATATCCGCGCGAGGCAATAAGGGATTGAGTAGATGAAGTAGGAGTCCTAGAACGGGTTGATGTTGCTGGAGGAGGAGGAACAGGAGAAGGAATTGAGGCTGTCAACCGTCACGCTTCGCCTGTCAGCTGCAGGCCAGGCGCAGAGCTTACCTCAGGTGCAGAACAACCCATGATGCGGGCAACAATCGGACGAGCAGCATTATTAACGAACGACAACTGAACATATAGAAAGTCAATGCCCGCTTTGGCCCCCGAAACCGCCGTCCTGATAACAGAGCACTGACCTGAAACTCCCTTGGTCACAGGATGAGGTAAGCGATGGCTAACCGGGCCCTAGATGATTTGTAAGCTGCCGCTCACCTGCAACCTCTGGTCGGCCCCTCGTTCCGAGGGTCCGCCATCTCAACGTTATCCGCCATCTCAACGCGATTATTTTCAAATACGCGAATCTCTTTTTTCAAAATGCAATAATCAACCAATGTGATGACTTCTACATATATTTTAATAGAGAATAAGATCACAGAGGCTCTAGATTCCATAGCCGATATTGAAAAACCCAATATCAAAGCATTGGCAAGAGATTATAACCTTCCCTATTCCCGTCTGCTCAATCGATACAATGGCCGTGCTCCGCGAACTCATCGACCTCCTGCTAATCGACTTTTATCTTTTGAGCAGGAAAAATCACTTTGTCAGTATATAGAAGCTCTAGATAAGCTATGCCTACCTCCCAATCGATCGATGATCTTTGGTGCTGCTCGATTCCTACTTGCGCAGAGCCATACAGATTCTACCACACCTGCACCTGGGCTTGGAGAGCACTGGGTCAAAAGATTTCTCAAACGCCATCCAGAGTATAATGTACGCAAGCAGAAGACCATTGATATATTACGGAAACAGGCTCATCAACCATCTCATATCCTTGATTGGTTTAACCGGTTCAAAGAAACAGTCAATAAATATGGAATTCAAGATTGCGATATCTACAACTTCGATGAAACAGGGTTCAGAATAGGAATTGGACATGATCAATGGATTGTAACGCGAGATCCTCGAAGACGGGCCTATGTTGGAAGTTCAAATAATAGAGAAAGTCTTACTATCATTGAAGGAGTTGCAACTGATGGCTTTACCATTCCTCCCTTATATATTCTCACCGCGAAGCAGCTACAGGAGCGGTGGACAGATGAAATAGAGAAGGATGCCATGATAGCTACATCCGACACTGGGTATAATAATGATCAAATCTCTTTTCAGTGGATTCAGCATTTCCATCGGTCTACAAAAGCTCGCAACAAAGGAACCCACCGTCTGCTTCTATTAGATGGATTTGACTCCCATTGCACCTTTGAATTCATGGATTTTTGTGAAAAGAACAACATCATTCCCTTCTATCTCATCCCGCATACGAGTCACCTATTACAACCTCTGGATGTTGGTGTTTTTCAAGCCTTTAAGCATCATCATTCAGTGGCAGTTGAAGAAGCAACAAGACGCGGCTGTGAGAAGTTCACAAAGGTTGAATTTCTTCATGCTATCACCTCCATACGAAAAGCAACATTCAGAGTTCATACAATCAAACATGGATGGGAAGCAACTGGCCTACTTCCATTCAATCCTTCAATTGTCCTTAATAAATTGCGTGAATTCGAGACTACTCCTTGAGAATCTTCAAATTCAGATTCCATGGATTCAGATACTTGGTATACTCCTTCAACTGTACGCCAATTCAACCGATATAAACGCAAACTCGAGGCTTTGGAAGAGGAAGATGAAGATAACTATGATGAGGACTATATATATGAAGGATTACAGAAGCTTTATAAGGGTAGTATTGCAATGGCCAATACAGTGGCTCTTTTGCAGGAGGAGCTCTCGCAGACAACTGCCGCCTCGGCTGCTCGCAAACGCCGTCTGAACGGCTCACGGAGGGTAGTTCATAAAGGAGGAGTCATCTCTGCAGATAATATTCGCAAAATGACAGCTATTCATCATCAGATTGGTATTGAGGAGGCATTGGAGAAGTTACGGCCAAAATGGAAGAAGGTTATGAAGGAACTTAAGAGATATTGCAGAGACAAAGGCATTTATGTTAATGCCACCAAATTTACAAGGAATTCACGGCAATAGTTCATTTACAATATAATCTATTTGTATCTATCAAATATAGATTCATTGGTTGATAAATCAACTGAATATCATGGGTATAAGTGGGCAGTAACGTTGAGATGGCGGATAACGTTGAGATGGCGGACCCTCGGAACGAGGGGCCGACCAGAGGTTGCAGGTGAGCGGCAGCTTACAAATCATCTAGGGCCCGGTTAACCCCACTCGCCCTGTTCCTAATCTACAGCTGTATGTATGTAATCTGTACTGTACAAATGTATGTCTGTCCAAGGCGGTTTTATCCCTGTACCCTAGAGAAGTCGTCCATCACCTCAGTTTATACATGTTGATTCTCGCACTATGGTCAGGAACAAGAAGAAAGCAGAGAACTGCCAACTCCCTCTCCAACCCCAGAGGCCCGATTAGTTGCTGTCCTCACCTTTATTTCCCCGCCGCAGCTTTCAAACATTTGCCATCCCAAGTCCGACCCGGACGTGAGGAATAAAATATGGGAAATAATTTCCTGGGCCGAAATTTGAAAATTATCGTTTGTGTTGTGGGTACTAGTAGTTGTGGGCGCTACACAGCAGCTCCAGTTTTTTCTTTAAAAAGAGGCGAAGACAAGAACACCCGGTAATAATAACTCTCATTTGTTCCAGCTTGCTTGCAGTTTTTGTTTCGCTAGAGAGATAAGAGTCTCTTCGCAAGAGGAAATGTGTCCCACCAGGACTGGATACAGGGAATTGAATTCTCTGCTGCTCCCTTGTGCCTCCACAAGGGAGGCTTGTCGAATCCATGCCCAATCTCAATATATGTCAGCCTGCTTAAGCTTAATTTCTAGAGAGAGATCTTAAGACACATCAATGCCACCCAGTCACTATTTCTCATCTCATCACAATCATTAATTCACTCTACACTGAAAGTAGATGCAGTGAGGCAAACATCAGACATTGTATGTATGTATGTATTTGTTTAACATCCCAGGGGAGGGCGCAGGCAGCGTCTGCACCTCCTAAGCATCCCTAAGGTATGGAGGCACGCTACACTGAAGGGATCTATGTACACAAAGGAGAAGAGCAGATTCAGATAGCACTCATGAGAAGA